CCACAGACTTTGTAGAACAACGTGCTTTACACAGCCAACGTGATAATGGTTTGCAGCACCTTTTATATGCAGCTGGTGTGAGTCCAGTGCACACAATGTGAAACCACCTATGGCAGTTGTCCTATTGCATCCCATTTTTTACATAGAAATAACATTCAGGTCTGCAACAACGATGTTTTACTTGCGACATGAATTTGCTTTGTGTTCTCACAGCGAAAATGGATCTCTGGATAAAGTGTCTTCTAAAGCTTCATAGATGATACACTCTAAGCACAAACAAAAAAAGTTTGTATATAACTGTGCTTAACAAAAATTAAAGACCCAACCCTCGGTAGCCACAAAAAAACCTTATTACCTGTGGATACAAAAAATACTCCAAGATATACTTAACGAGGAAAAATTAATATCAGTGCCTTTAATTTTTTTGTATCTGTACCAGGAAAGTACGGGTGACAAAACTTCCTCAGGAAAAAGCGGTGCTATTGAGGATTGCTTTAACTGAAATATATTCGCCTGAGACAAAAACAGTAGTCCTGATGCTTTATTTAACGATCAATACTATAAAATATACTGAGAGCAAAAAACTACTGTCGTTTTTAAATAACGCGCTATGTACTATGCATTTAAGTTCCTGGTTTGTTTATTTGATTTCTGTTGGCCAGTATAAATATACGGATATATAGCTTGAAGTCAAATAACTCCAATCCTCACGACATGAAGATAATGTTTATTGGACTGTGGCGCGACAGACAAAATTCAGTTAGGAGGGAATTTAAATATTTTGTCATGAGGCGATATTAATGAGTAAGTAACTAACTCTCCTGTATTCCAAGACGTTAATTTGTACATCACGATTGCTTATTAGTTACTGCCCGGTCAAGCGACAGCAAAACTTAGGTCTCACTGCATTTTATTGTAAACTTTTTTTTAGGATTCGGAACCTCGAAACTTGATTACATATAAAGTGTAAATGGTTGCGCTGCTGCACTGCTAGTCAGGCAGAATAAAACTCAAAAATTAAGCAGCAGCCTGGGCTGTAAAATCAACAATTATAGTCTTTAAAGCCACTAGTTTAAGGTTTGCTTCGGTGTTATTTTTTTCATCGTACATGACTTTTGATCGTAGAGAGCCATAACAGTCAGATCTTTTTGGACCTACGATATTTTTAGCGGTTATTTATCTGAGTTGTAAGCAGAATTGCTGGATTTTCCATATATTCTACTTACATTTTGTGTGGCGGAAGTACAGAATTTTTTCAACCAACTATCAAAGGGAGTCTGACCTTCTTGAATTGTCAGCCTTTCTCGTTGTGAAATTTCCAAAATAAAACATCATCAATACAGGAATATATTATGAGATACTTGTTGCAGAGAACCATTTATGCAACCTAAAATGGACGGTCCTACTTCCGTACTCTAGGAGACGCTGTATGATATTCTGTAGCGAAGTGGCGCTAGAGTTAAGAGGTGAAAATTTTAGGTCTGGAGTTCAAAATACTGATGGAATAGCGTTCTCTCATGAAAACTGCATATTTCAGCGTTTATCAGCTCACGACTCTTGTAAAAGATAAATGTTTTCGGTACAAATCCAATTGTACTTACGAAGTTGTAATCGTGAAGCAAATCCGCAGTGTTTCTTAGGCATATGTGTTGTCACGCAGTGAGAATATCCAAGATTGGAATCTGGTAAGTGCTAAGTTCAAAAAGTCTGCGAACGTTTTATAACTTTGTTTTTGATGTTTTATGTAATGGTTTCTAACAAATATTGAGTGGTTCTACTGTTGGTTTAAAAGCGCAGTGTGAGGGTAAAAATTCTACTATTCCCTACCTAGTTTTCCAGTATGCTGTGAGCTATAGGTAATCAGCTTGTTGACGCTACAGTGTCGTTGCTTTTAGTAATCTATATTAAGATATTGTATTTGCGAGCTCATTGTTTTTTTTATTTTATTTAAACACATAAATATTGGTACAAAGGAGCACCAGATACATATGCGCCATACAAATCTCATCCGATTTGCTTGAGGGCTGTGATACTGCCCAGGTGCCCAAACTGAAGCAGGTGGTTTTCTTAGGGGACCACACCCGGAGCCTTTGATCGAAAGGTCTGATCCACAAGGCAGTAGAGCATCGTGAGGAGATGCAGTCCCATGGTAGCCGTTGACCAACAACAGGTTCATTCGCCATTCGTTCCATCAGGATACTGGAGCCCATGTGCACCATTGGTTTGGAATCAGGGTTTTCCAACTCCCCTAGGTGGACCCTCCGTGTCCACCAACCCGGTTAAAGCGCCGGACATTCGCTTTTCGTCCTCTCACTTTCGTAAACAACAGTAGTGCCACGAGAAGGCAGTGAGTAGGACTTGTGTGACAGAGGCTATATATTCGCTGGCCATGTGAGAGCATTTCGAGAGGGAGAGTGGGCTCTCCCCACTCTCGGCCATACCAGGGCATTTGGGGCTCATTGTCTGATAAGGACATTTTAGAATTGCTGTTATGCTGCCTGTAAGTACAAATTTCGACCTAAGCTAGAGACATCACAACTGGTGGACTAAAAATCTCGCTTTCTCAGAGAGTTATAATGTAGAATAAGTATACCTGTCACTGCTTCCCCAACAAACTTCGTTTTATACTAAAAATACTCATTGTTGAAGTTTATTGTACTACTAAATGAAATGTAATGTTGTTCGTAAGGCTGTGGCTTGGTTGTTAAGGGGTTTGACTTTCAACCACAGACAGATATCGTCTGGTATAGATATACGTTTGACATAGTTGTCATCAGCTTGGCATGACAAGATGAGAAAAGAGATCAAATTGTAGTAGCAATGATAAAAATATCAAACAATAAGAATTTGGTTTGAGAAGAGAAAGTAAAAAGGTATGTCTGAAGGTGTACTGAAATTCAAAACCAAGAGAAAGAATAAAAGTGAATACACCTGAGGAAATGTGAACGATTCTGAACCATGTCGCCCAAAGTGTTTAACCACCAGTTGTGGGTATCACACGGTCACCAACGAGGTGATCGTTATCCATTAATATGGCTTAAACTGACAGTCGATGACTTCATGAACTGGTGCCAATTTTTAGTTTTTCCGTCCTTAGCTTTTCTCAAACCTATCTCTGTACTAACAAACAACACCCTTCGAGATAAGTGGTAATTAAATATGCATAAAATATGTCCTAATCATCATGAACGATGAGTACTTCAACCCCATCAATTGACTTCCCAGTTTTTACCAGATACCCTATACCTAACCTCAACATTTATTTATTTGATTACACAAGTATTGATACATATAGGAAAAAAATTATGTACCACGCAGTTAAAAAATAAAATTGTAAAGAGTTAGAGAAAGGTGGATAATTGTAAGTAAAAGCAACAAATGAATAAAAACAAGCGAACAAAAATAGTATGTAGTGGTAAAAACAGTTCATCCAAGATAAATGCAACCGGAAAACGTCATAGAATTTCTTTTCATTTAAAAAAAACGCGGAAAACAAATCACAACAAGACTGTCACTGGCTTCTATTCTAAACCTTCTCTAATGATGTCTCAAGCCACTGAATCGGTCTGTCTTTCAGACCCTTATGAGAGAGTCGTGAAGGACCGAGGAGTATCAGTCATGTACGGCTTTCATGTATATGCTGGCCACCGCTTTTCTCAATTTCTTCCATCTTTGGAAAATAAAGCACAATGTGAAGTCCTCTGAAACGACATTCGTAGCATATGTCCAAACCACTGAATCCGAAATTTCAAAATGGTGAGACCAATCGGATTGTCGTTACTATGGTGATGAAACAGTCTATTAACATCCTCATCCCGGAGCAGCCAAGTTTCATAAACATCGAACGTAATTGCTCTCGTCGATGGGTTGCAAACCTACCCTTTAACACCAAGACTAACATCAATACGACACAAAAGATAACCCAGACTTGAACAAATCACTCTGACTTTCGCTATACGTAAATCGGTCTCATCAGTTTCGCCCTCACCAGCACTCACACAATCTCCACAAACTTAGGGGCTCAGATCTAGTAATGGTAGCAGGTAATTTTAATACTTAAGTAAAGTAGAGCGAATCGGAAGGCACTTAGATGGATCTTACAGTGTTTTGGCTCAGCGAACAGATAATGGTAACCGTCTGCTGCAACTGTGGTGCTATCAGAGGTATGAGGAATATTGTATCTTCTCGGTCGCCCACATCGTGGAAGTATATTTTTCTTTAAGGGCCTGTAAAGTAAACTGTATTAGTAGTTGTCTTAGCGACCTGGGGGCGTCACCACAGGGTTCAAGGAACTACTATTTAAGACTGATCACACACAAGCTTTTTTCACCAGAAGTTATGGATGGGTTAAATTAACACTTGAAAAGTCTCATTGGTGGAGACGGAAATCCATGAGGTATGATCGTGTGTAAAAGTTTTAAAGTTGATCTCTTCAAGTCTCTTCCGGTGTGAGAGGGCATGATTATTACACATGCTGATTATCTGAGGGAACCATATTACTGCCGTTTCACCACTGTACCGTCATCCGTAGAACTTTCCCCCCCAGAGTTCTCGCCGTTTAATCTTACCATTCCTCGACCTAGCTGTTTGGAATGGCGGAGCCTAAAGGAGCAGATGTTCCAACCAATACAACTCCATCGAATTATTACGATCTTCAAGCTCAACCACCACGTTTATGTAGCAATTACGGTCGTTTTCAGCAACTAGGTCACAAGTTAAAGTCTCACCCTGCGTATTTGGGTTTATTCAGTTAGGTATTACCATTAACCTTCACACATTGTGCGGCTCAATGCCAAGTGCACGAATATGCACCCTGCATATAAGTTAGAAAAGTTGTTGCTTTGTCTTGATTCACCTTAAGTTCACATGTTCTAAGTCCCTGCCTCCAAAATTTTACTTTTTCTTGGCATCCTAAGCATAAATCTTTATGTCGATCTTCTTTATTTTTCAGAAATATTACTTCTGTAGAACAAGTCAATAAATAACACTTTATAACCGTTATGATTCATGTAACAGAAGGCCCTTTGAATATCGACCTGCTGCGTGAAAGCTATCAGAACGAATTTTTCAGCTACATCGATGCTCAACCTTCACCCAAGGTATAACGTTAAGTAGATCTTATGTTTAATCTATTTTAGGTTATATATTGGGAGAAAGATCTGTTAGCCCATATGAGTTCTGTGGTAAACAATTCTGATTTGAAAGTAATGTCGATAATATTTATAATTAGCGACATTATAATCTTTAAAAACGTTTAGAAACATGGCGTCATGAATTCATTTCTTCTCCAATCTGCCAAAGATTCCTGTTCTCCTTCAGCGTGTAAATCTGTAGTATTCATTATCAATCCAAAAGTTAGTATTGTTGACTCTGTACAATCATTTTTAGTAAGGTAAGTAGTATTCTATGATCGCTTTTTAATCATTTGAAAAATAGAGATTCACAATCCAATCAAAGTGCTGGAAAGCAATATAGTATTATTGCCATTCCAAGGATTTCCCTTGCTTGTAAAAATTTCTTAAAAGAAAAAAAGATGATCAATAAATTTGCTATGATATCTGAATTTCCTCTAACAATAGTACCCGTAGAATGTGATGTTCTCTCAATGGAAGATTCGCAATGTTTTGCTGTTTGTCTTTGTATTTCTTTTACCATATCCAATGATTATATTTTTCATCTAGAATTACTCCATTTCCGAACGTCAAGATGGTGTCTATCAATTTGTACAAGGTTTAATGAGATTTCAATCAATTTTTGGTCTGTTCCCAAAAATTTATGCTAAAGGTGAAAAAGCCATAGTAAGTAATTATTCATATAGAGTTTCATATAAAACTTAATGTGTTAGTATATCAATTTAATGTATTTGTATTATCATAGTTAAAATCATTAGTCAATTGAAGCTAGACCACCATGGAAAACCTGGAACCACTAGAGGGCCTCTTCGTCCTGTTGTGGGACTCCTCAGTAGTGTGCATTCACGATCCCATCTCATGAGATCCGAACCCAGGACCTACCAGTCTGGCGCGCATTAACACCATGGATGCCGGCTCAGTGGTCTATTGGTTAAGTGCTCTGGCGCGAGACTGGTAGGTTCTGGGTTCGAATCTCGCGAGTGCGGGATCGTGGATGCGCACTACTGAGGAGTCATACAATGGGACGAAACGGCCGTCAAGCAGTGCTTCCAGGTTTTCTCTGGTGGTTCAGCTTCAATTGACTCACGCTTTCAACTATGAAAATTCAAGTGAATTAATTGACATCTCAGTTTTTTGGTTGTTATATCATAATTTTTGTAAGTTATGATTTATATTTATTTCAAATACGTTCATTCTTTAGGGAGTGGCCAAAATGTTACAGCGTATGTCTGATGAGGCCAAAGTTACAAATGAACATCAAACATCTGTCAATGCATTAGATGAAATCGAAAGTCAAACTGAATTATTAATTCTTATTGATCGAGCTGTTGATCCTTTGACTCCTTTGTTAAATCAGTTAACGTACGCTGGACTAGTTGATGAGAAATGGGGTATACATTTTGGTAAGCTTAAAAGTTTCGTTTAATCGAATTACAGCTGAAGTAAATATTAATCTTTATGGTTGTACTTAAATCAGATGAGTAACATCTTTGTGGTCACGAATTTCATCGACATGACATGATCTTCATTTTATTTAAGCAAATAGCACATAAATCACCTGGGAAGTGCTAGCGACACATCGTATGGTACGATGGTTTGTTAATGTTATCTTTTTATCCTTCACAACTAGATACCTGAAATTTCCATTACCCATTACTTGATGATCTATAATATATCTTTTGTCATAATGATTGTATCTTCTATACTTCTCTGTAACTCGTTATTTTAGTGACTTAGTTTTCATAACAGTTTTTATCTCTTGTTCTTTATTTTTGTGAATCTAGTTGAACATTTCCATCATATTATTAGATCTCATAACTAACTCCTTACATACGATTTAATATGATCATAAATGGAGCTATTGATTTGTTTCATCACTGTTTCTGAAAAGGTAACACAATACATTGTGGTGTTAAACACACAATAAGAGTTTGAGATATTCAAGTGGTACAGTGAATTGGTATATTTTGGAATAGAAAATCAACGGATCTTCTCAACTGTCTAATCATAGTGTTGAAAGAAATCGAATGATTTTATCCTTATATAGTTTTATGATAATTTATTAATAGATAGAACTTTGTGTATTTGACGAATTTGTTTTGTTTTCCTATTAGTTACATATACTACTACTTATTTAACTGTATTTATTTATGTTCGACTTAGAATACGCAGATGACATAGTCCTGTTTGGTGAAGACGCTGATAAAATGCAGAGTCTTTTGGTAGCACTGAGTAACAATGCCAGGATATTTGGAATGTGTTTCTCCCTCTCTAAATGTAAATTGTTACTCCAGGACTGGCTTGCGTTTACACCGGAAATAAGGATAGGGAGTGAAGTAGTTGAACGCGTCGACAACTTCACTTATCTTTGAAGTCTGGTCAGCCCTAATGGGTTGGTGTCTGACGAAATCTCAACACGGATTCAGAAAGCTCATTTGGCTTTTGCCAACTTACGTCACCTATGGCGATGGCGAGATATCCGTCTATCAATTAAGGGACGAGTATACTGCGCAGAAGTTCGTTCTGTTCTATTTTACAGCTGAGAAATGTGGCCATTAAGTGTAAAAGATGCTCGTAATTTACCAGTATTTGACCACAGATATCTTAGAAATATTGCTCGCACCTGCTGGTATAACCGGGTAAGTAATAGTGAGGTTAGACATAGGGTATTAGGGAATGATGGTAAATCAGTTGATGAGGTTGTGAATATTCATAGGTTGAGATGGTTGGGCCACGTGTTACGTATGCCTGAACACCGATTACCACGACGCGTTATGCTAACTAGTATTGGAGATGGTTGGAAGAGAGTTAGGGGCGACCAAACCAAAACGTGGCATAAGTCATTGAAGTCATTAACTTCTAATCTGAGCCATGTTGGTAGATACAGACTACTTGGTTGGGGTCCGCGCGACTATCGTAACCAATGGTTGGAGACTGTGTGTGACATGGCGAAGGTGTATACACTTTCTGCCTTTCCTTAAACTATGAGATTAAAATTCCTTCATATCTACCTTTCTTCCTGTATTATATATATCCTTGTATACAATCTTTCTTTTATATATTACTACCATTGAAGTAACTACTTCTATAAGTTTGGTGTTGATCTTGTTGTGCTAATGAGGTATGACAACTTGGACGGATGCATATATGTGCCTGGTCCTACGTTGTAGCTGACTGACTTTTCATGTAAGATGACTTCTTATAAGCAGTGAAATAATAAAGACCTGTTTATATTGAGAATCTTCTATCTGTTTAGTTTTCAATATCTTAACTCGTTCTCTTATATTTTTTACAGGTATTTGTCGTCCATGTCTTCAAACTGATAATGAAGCTTCTAAAAAATTCATACTCAATTCATCAGATATGGTATATGCTGAAATAAGAGATCAAAAATTTTCTGAAGTTGGTTTAATTCTATCAAAAATTACAAAAGAAATATCTACAATTGTTACAGTAAGCTAATATATTGATGATATATAGTCTGTTATGACTTGATCAAGGCCGCCGCCAAATGTTGCCCCCAAATGCCTTGGTACGGCCGAGAGTAGGAAATTCCGCTCTCCCTCTCCAAATGCTCTCACATGGCCACGCGTATATAGCCTCTGCCAGGGAAGTCCTACTCACTGCCTTCTCGTGGTGGGGGTGTTGTTTACGAAATTGAGAGGACGAAAAGCGAATACCCGGCGCTTTAACCGGGTCGGTGGACACGTCCAGTCCACATAGGGGAGTTGGAAAACCCTGATTCCAAACCAATGGTGCATATGGGCTCCAGTATCCGGAGGAAACAAATGGTATATGAATCAGTCGTTGATCACCGACTACCATGGGACTGCATCTCCTCACAATGCTCCACTGTCTTGTGAATCAGATCTTTAGGTCAAAGGCTCGGAGTGTGGCCCCCTAAGGAAACCACCTGCTTCAGTTTGGGCACGTGGGCAGTATCACAGCTCTCACACAAACCAAATGAGATTTGTAAGGCGCATATATATCTGGTGCTCCTTTGTACCAATATTTATGTGTTTTAATAAAATAAAATAAAAATTCGCCAATTGTTATGACTTCACAAAATAAACAAAAGACGTATGACAATTCGTTATCAATTTTATGTCCGGCTTTTTATCATGTGAATTATCCACAAATCGAAATACGACTTTCCCAATTTTAACATTGTGCCTAATCAATGACGTTCGGTCAGTATGAACAGTCTAGCGTCTTTATTAGTCCCTTGTCCACGTAGCCCTTCCAATTGAGTTCAAAAACACCAATTACAGCTTCTGCTATGCGAATCGTTTATTTCAAGCATACTCAGATTATATACCAGACAAACAGACCGCATCACACCATAGAATAGAAAATAATATTTGTACAAGATGCTTTGCAAAATATATTGTACTTTTTTGTTAGTGAAAATTGTTTAGAGAAGGTATAAAATAATTTTGTCTTTTGATGATAGTTGAATTGATCTATGCCAATTATTCATTATTAGTATGAAGTAAAGAAAGTGTTAAGTGAACAATAGAACTGATAAATTGGATCAACTTATATGGTTGAGTGGCTTGATTGATGTGAGAGTATTGAGTGATAACGAATAGTTTAACTTTTGCCCTATTGATAAATATTCACCAATTCATCTCAGTGATCTTTGAATGCAATATGGAACAAAGATAACTTAAATATAGACCTAGAAACGTCTTCATAAGCTGTGAGGAAAAGAAACGAAAAAAAAGAAATAGTTAACGGGATTATTTGACAATAGTCAACTGATCAGGCTCATTACGGAGACATAATGGTAACGTGATTCATCTTCCAATCTTGCAACTGGAACAATGTTTGGAACACTAAGTAGTAATTCAACTGACCCAAAAGCCTAAATGGCTTATTGACAGCTCTTAGATTGTAAAGACCATAACGAAATTTATTTATATAAACACATAAATATTGGTACAAAGGAGTACCAGATATATATGCGCCTTACAAATCTCATTTGGTTTGTGTGGGGGCTGTAATACTGCCCAGGTGCCCAAACTGAAGCAGGTGGTTTTCTTAAGGGGCCACACCCGAAGCCTTTGACCTAAAGGTCTGATCCACAAGGCAGTGGAGCATCGTGAGGAGATGCAGTCCCTTGGTAGCTGGTGACCAAAAATTGATTCATACGCCATTTGTTCCCTCAGGATACTGAGGCCCATGTGCACCATTGGTTTGGAATGGGGGTTTTCCAACATCCCTAGGTGGACATTCTGTGTCCACCGACCCGGTTAAAGCACCGGACATTCGCTTTCGTCCTCTCAGTTTTGTAAAGAGCGTAACTAACTTGAAGCAATAGTTTGTAGCTCAAGCAAGCCTTAAAAATGATAGTCTAGAGTATTTATTAAAACTAGTTATGAAATTAAGTACATCCAAGGCGTTCCGCGTAATTCCCTTTGATTAATATCATTGTCCCAGTTTTCTTGTGAAGCCACTATTATGGAGTTTTCAGTAATATGCTAACCACTGGTTATTATGAAACAATGCATCAACATCGGAGCTAACTTTTCGTTGTATTAATTTGCTGGCAAAAATCGTGATTTAATTAATTGACGCATTTTAATAACAAATTACGGCCTAATGTCCTCCTCTTTGACCAACACTTTATACAGGAAGGTTAATGATATTAATCTGTTGCCCAAACTAAAGTCTCTGGAACGTAGATCCTAATCAGCAACATGATATTTGAGAGTAGAGGACTTGAAACACTAAACTAACGTTACACAAATAAAGCTCTTTAATTTTAAATAGTTCATTTCTGTGTACACAAATTCACATTGTCGGATACAATCCCTTCCGGTAATCCGTTTCGTGCGAACAACTCAGTCAGATGCTTCAGCGTCTGGGTGGTCGTTGGTGGCGCGACGGGTACAATCTCCGGCCATTTTGAGAAAGCGTCGACCACGACAAGATAAGTGGTTCCGTTGACTGGACCTGCAAAGTCGACATGTATCCTAGACCAGGGATACTCAGGCTGTGGCCATGGAACCGGCGACACCTTCGCATTGCGCTTCGCTGCTTGCTGACACTGAGCACATTTGTTTACTAGATCCACGATATGCTGGTCCATGAGGGGCCAGTAAGCATAGCTTCTGGCGATAGATTTCATACGCTTTATCCCGGGATGACCAATGTGGAATTGCTTCAGCACCCTCGATCGTAGGGATTCTGGCACCACCACTCTATCTCCAAACATCAAGCATTCATTTACGACACATAATGAGTCACGACAATGGTAAAGCTGCTTCATGTCACCGTCAAGTTTAGTTGATGGCCAGCCATTGGTGGCGTAGTTCATCGTTTTCTTAATGATGGAGTCGTTTCTGGAAGCAGTTTGTATCTCAGATTCTGAGACTGGCGAAGCACGAACAGCAGTTGTCAGGTAGCATTGCGCGTGGTCTTCTATCGAAAGAGAAGCAATAACGGCATCTTCGTCGGTCGTGGGGTGTTCGCTGATAAGTCGTGACAATGCGTCTGCCTGACCAAAATGTTGGGTGCGTCGATACTGAATGTCAAAATCGTAACCCAAGAGGATCAAGGCCCATCGTTGGAGACGGTTTGCAGAGTGGGCCGGGACGCCAGACTTCGAACCAAAAATCGCAAGGAGAGGCTTGTGATCAGTTAGGAGAGTAAATCTCTGACCACAAAGAAACTTGTAAAAACGACGCACTGCGAAGACTAGGGCAAGAGCCTCCTTCTCTACCTGGCCATACTTTCTTTCTGCCGGGGTCAGCGTTCGGGATGTGTGCATGACAGCCTTCTCTGATGCGTCTGGAAACTGATGAGAAATGACAGCTCCTAAGCCATACGCTGAGGCATCTGCAGCTACAATGATCGGCATGCATGGATCGTAGTGCGTCAATAACAATTTCGAGCTGATGATGGACTTCAGTTTACAAAATGCTGTGTCACACTCTTTAGTCCAGTTCCACGTACTGTTCTTGCTCAGTAGACCATTCAGTGGGGCACGAATGTCTGTCTTATCGCTTGGACGTTTTCAGGATCCGGTCTGCGGCCGTCAGCATCAAAAATAAACCCCAAATACTTTACGGACCCTAATAAAAACTGGCATTTCTCAGGTCGCACCCGGAACCCGTTTTCACTGATACGTTTCAGTACCGATGTCGTTCGTTCCTTTAATGCATGACATTCGTGCCCCACTGAATGGTCTACTGAGCAAGAACAGTACGTGGAACTGGACTAAAGAGTGTGACACAGCATTTTGTAAACTGAAGTCCATCATCAGCTCGAAATTGTTATTGACGCACTACGATCCATGCATGCCGATCATTGTAGCTGCAGATGCCTCAGCGTATGGCTTAGGAGCTGTCATTTCTCATCAGTTTCCAGACGCATCAGAGAAGGCTGTCATGCACACATCCCGAACGCTGACCCCGGCAGAAAGAAAGTATGGCCAGGTAGAGAAGGAGGCTCTTGCCCTAGTCTTCGCAGTGCGTCGTTTTTACAAGTTTCTTTGTGGTCAGAGATTTACTCTCCTAACTGATCACAAGCCTCTCCTTGCGATTTTTGGTTCGAAGTCTGGCGTCCCGGCCCACTCTGCAAACCGTCTCCAACGATGGGCCTTGATCCTCTTGGGTTACGATTTTGACATTCAGTATCGACGCACCCAACATTTTGGTCAGGCAGACGCATTGTCACGACTTATCAGCGAACACCCCACGACCGACGAAGATGCCGTTATTGCTTCTCTTTCGATAGAAGACCACGCGCAATGCTACCTGACAACTGCTGTTCGTGCTTCGCCAGTCTCAGAATCTGAGATACAAACTGCTTCCAGAAACGACTCCATCATTAAGAAAACGATGAACTACGCCACCAATGGCTGGCCATCAACTAAACTTGACGGTGACATGAAGCAGCTTTACCATTGTCGTGACTCATTATGTGTCGTAAATGAATGCTTGATGTTTGGAGATAGAGTGGTGGTGCCAGAATCCCTACGATCGAGGGTGCTGAAGCAATTCCACATTGGTCATCCCGGGATAAAGCGTATGAAATCTATCGCCAGAAGCTATGCTTACTGGCCCCTCATGGACCAGCATATCGTGGATCTAGTAAACAAATGTGCTCAGTGTCAGCAAGCAGCGAAGCGCAATGCGAAGGTGTCGCCGGTTCCATGGCCACAGCCTGAGTATCCCTGGTCTAGGATACATGTCGACTTTGCAGGTCCAGTCAACGGAACCACTTATCTTGTCGTGGTCGACGCTTTCTCAAAATGGCCGGAGATTGTACCCGTCGCGCCACCAACGACCACCCAGACGCTGAAGCATCTGACTGAGTTGTTCGCACGAAACGGATTACCGGAAGGGATTGTATCCGACAATGTGAATTTGTGTACACAGAAATGAACTATTTAAAATTAAAGAGCTTTATTTGTGTAACGTTAGTTTAGTGTTTCAAGTCCTCTACTCTCAAATACCATGTTGCTGATTAGGATCTACGTTCCAGAGACTTTAGTTTGGGCAACAGATTAATATCATTAACCTTCCAGTATAAAGTGTTGGTCAAAGAGGAGGACATTAGGCCGTAATTTGTTATTAAAATGCGTCAATTAATTAAATCACGATTTTGCCAGCCGCCGGATATATTGTTAGATACGTTCAATCTGCCGGTCGCCCCTACACAAGAAGAAACACCAAAGGTCGATCTACGGTCTCGAAGATGGTCACTGCGCCAACGGCGACAGCGAGTTAAAATGCAGGTGGACCCAAATAATGTCCGTTACTAAAAAGGGGAGGTGTTGGGGATGTCATATCTTCAGAACTTACTTGGTAAATGGCTTGGTTTTGTAATTTTATTTTGGAAATTTGAATTTAGCTGTTTTCGCGCCAAACGCGCTCTTTTTACCTTCACGTCATATTTCCCACTTGTAAACTATCTTAAACGCTATTGGTCCATTGTTCCTTTGTGTGTACTATTTACTAATGATGCTCAAGGACAAATTGTTGCTGTATAAATGGGCTTGACTTTTTCCCTTATTCGATTGCTTGTACTTGGCTGCTTACGGAATACATATATATTCCCCTACTTACCTTGGACTTCTTCATCTAGTTAGCGGGGCCTGGGACAACAGCTTAGAACGGCTTATCGTGTCATTGGCTTTCGTTCGTTATCGCGGAATCGATTTAGCTTCAAGCATATCAATTGGCGACGGTGGTTTGGAAACATGGATCCTTCTAAACTCGAATCATTACTGAAACAGCAGCTGAAGCTCATACAAATGCTGACAGATATTAAAGTTTCGCCCCCCACGCAGCCTAGCATATCTAATGCAACCACAACACCATCAGTAGACGGCATCGTAAATTGTATTGCTGAGTTTCATTATGATCCTGATGCCAACGTTACTTTTGACATGTGGTTCCGGCGTTATGAAGACCTATTTAAATTTGATTTTGCTAATCAAGATGATGCTTGGAAGGTGCGACTGCTACTTCGTAAGTTGGGTGCAAGTGAGCTGGACAGGTACAGCAACTTGATCCTGCCTTTGAATCCATGTGATCGCTCTTTCGCAGACACAGTCCAGACACTAGGCCAACATTTTGGGGACAAAAAAAGTGAAAAATGACGCTCCCTTCTGACCGATTACAGTTGCTATTTGACCGACATTTGGAGCTCATGGTCAAACTACGCACACAGTTTCTGGATCACCAATGCTTTGCATATGCGTCGGAAGTGGATGGATTAATCACTGAATTTCACGCAGAGCTGGAAAATGATCGCAACCTCCATGAATCCTCGACCAGTGGCAACTCAAACGAAACAGCAGTCTCTCAAGAGACGCCCAGTTGTCCATCACTATCCATTTCAGAAACGTGCCCGGTAGTTGATTCAAACCCCGCTATCCCTGAATTAGCAGGTCCGAACAGTGACGCTTCCAGCTCTCATCAACATGATGCCATGTCAAATGCTCATGAAATTTCTGCAGTACCCGCCCACGAAGAAACGGGATACAAATCGAGCAGTATAGCGAATACAGCTGCGCCACATGAAACATATCATGATGCAATAAAATTTTCTAATGAATCTAATGATCAAGATTCTTTAATTGTTTTGCCAGATCCCGATTATTTTGCTGATTCATATGTTTCTGTTGAAATCTCTTATAAAAATGGGAGAAAAATGTCAGATGCATTAAATAATAATCAAGAATCCAATATGATTTTCATAGATACTGATTATGATTCATTATCTAATAAGGAGGTTCCGAATAAATTCAAGGAAATTGTTCCAAAAGAATCAGGCACTGGTGACCTCGAATCAAGTGTCGTCGATTTTCATGATCTCGTCAGTTCTAATGGATTTCCTGTTAAATGTGTCAAACATGACAAACATATCGCATTAATAGTAACTTGGCTATATGAGGATCCAACACTCTTTCGTGGTTGAGGAGGAATTCAAGAAATTTAAAATCCGGATATCAACTCCGGATTTCTCAAAAAGGAGAGGTGTTATATCCCCTAGTGAATTACGAATGGTAACTTTTAAGTCTATTTATGGATCAATGTAATACGCCTATTTCCTATTGTATAGTTGTTAAATAACTGACCTAATCGTATTCGTGTTCCTCTTATCATAACCTTTATTTTGACTTTTGAACTATTATTATTGTTTACTTTCCCCCTATCTACAGCCACATTGGCCAATTATTGTACAAATGTTACTTTTCTATTTTTTGGTATAATTTGGTCTGTTTGTTTAGTATATAAACCCAGTATGCTTGTGAATAATGATTCATACCACTGAGGCTGTTATCGGTGTTTTGGACTTAACTGGCTGAGCTAGGCAGATCGCAGGACCGGTTAGCACTCTAGTTTGCACGTACGGGTTTCGTGTCACTGTTCCAATCGACAATTCGCTGCTCCCTGTTAGGCGGTCTTATCGCGTCACACATTAACTAGTCATCCACTCAGCCACAAGATATAACAGTAATATGCTAACCACTGGTTATTATGAAACAATGCATCAACATCGGAGCTAACTTTTCGTTGTATTAATTTGCTGGCAAAAATCGTGATTTAATTAATTGACGCATTTTAATAACAAATTACGGCCTAATGTCCTCCTCTTTGACCAACACTTTATACAGGAAGGTTAATGATATTAATCTGTTGCCCAAACTAAAGTCTCTGGAACGTAGATCCTAATCAGCAACATGATATTTGAGAGTAGAGGACTTGAAACACTAAACTAACGTTACACAAATAAAGCTCTTTAATTTTAAATAGTTCATTTCTGTGTACACAAATTCACAACTACTATTTACATACTGAGATGATGAAGATTTATAGCTGAGGTGGATGATTTCGGGGTTTTAATTTCTGGGCTGGATGGCTTGGTCATGGAGCTTTCATCGTTATTCTGAACGACATCATCACTAAATTCAGATAGAAGTGAAGTGTTCACATTTCTCCACATATGACTCACAGCTTGTCCTGTCGACCTCGATCTTGACTGGTTATAGTTGATCTTTAACCTGTTACTCTTTACTTCTTTATTTTGATTGTATCTCCCATTGATTTGATTCTTGGTCCTATATTTGTCCGTGATTTTTCTGATTGGTTGATAGATTGGATCGATTTCAATATGTTTCTTGATTGCCCATTGACCCGAGTGCTTCTAAAAATTCTCCGATGTTTTTAGAAATCCTTCTATCCAAGATCTCGACATTTTACCATTCAAGTGCGTCCACATATGCATTGATATAGGTAAGGTTGCGTCATGGTGTTTGATCGCTAATTGCTGTTCGTGCATGTGTAATTGAAGAGGGTATCCACTTTGTCTGATGTACTGTTTTTTGCAGTTGGAACAATTTATTTTGTAGATGATGTTCGGTTTTCTTCCATTTCGTCCTTTGCTTTTCATAGGATTGATTGAAGTGATTTTGTTGGTTTGTATAATAAGCCTATTCCAAAAGGCTTTAATAATCTTGTAGTTTCTGATACGCCTTTTATGTAGGGTAGGGTGATCCGTTTGTTGGTTTCTGTACGTGATTCTGTTTCTGCTGATGCGTTTGGTTGATATTTCTTGATGAAGTTGACTGGGTAGCCGTTCTTTTGAAAGATAGTCTTCAGATATTTTCCTTCATTTTTCCGCGCTGCAGGTGTATTGTAGCGTGTCTTCGCCCTCTTAAACAGACTTTGTAGGTAGTTGATTTTGTGAGTTCTTGGTTTGTTGCTACTGGAATCGAGAATTTGATCTGTGTGTATCTGTTTTCGATATACTTGAGTCTCCAGTTTTTTTTAATTGAAACCGATCGAATCTATCAACCAATCAGAAAAATCACGGACAAATATAGGACCAAGAATCAAATCAATGGGAGATACAATCAAAATAAAGAAGTAAAGAGTAACAGGTTAAAGATCAACTATAACCAGTCAAGATCGAGGTCGACAGGACAAGCTGTGAGTCATATGTAGAGAAATGTGAACACTTCACTTCTATCTGAATTTAGTGATGATGTCGTTCAGAATAACGATAAAAACTCCACGATCAAACTATCCGGCTCAGAGACTTAAACTTCATCACAATCTGCATACTTTTTGTGAATGAATTTATTAATCACGTCAACCTTGGTTATTTCTTCTTTGAATGTATGATCTTTTGTTAAATGTTAGCATGTCGCATATAGGACACCAGAACATATATTAACCAAATCAATCTCATTAAGTCTTTTCTGTACAGCTAGTAATCGATTAAAGCTGCCTGGTGTGTATTGTGTTATGCTTCTTCCTTATTATCACTGGTTAATTGTAGAATTCTTTGTTTTATATACATATTTAAAGCAATCCAAGTCAGCCAAAGAACTAACCGATTTACGCATTGCTGTTAGTCGAATTCCCGAAATTCGATCAAAACAATCACAGCTGGAGATACGTGAGTTCTTTTTTTTCAAAATAGCACTGGTTTTTAAACAGTCGGTTTATCGATTTCTTTCAGCATCTTTTGAAGGTGAGTTTTAATCATGGACCAACGTCGCTTGGAGAGTTTTTTCAAAATCAAGAAGCAATGAATAACTGTTTTGTTTTAGTTTGTGACTCCTCGTCAATACCATCCTACTGTGGTGGTCAGTATTCGATATTATCCTTAAACTTCGTATATTGTTCATCCTGATAACCGCTACTAGATAATACCTCAATAGAGTATAGATCAGATGGCGAATACGAAGTGTTGATTGCGTTTATTATTGAACCATGCCTTTGGGGTGCAATGGTAAACACGATACTTATATACTACAAAGTTGGGTTCTAACGGTCTGTATTTTCAACTTTGGTAAGTTTGTGGTTATAAAACCATCATCCAGTAACGTGGTAGAACCTCAAATGTAACACAGTTTCATTGTTGAACTAGACTATCCTATGTTCCTTGATTTATAAACATTAATTGCTCTTTACTGACTATTATCTTTTAATGAACCAAATCAAATGGCTTTATTTTTTAGTTTACTGTTACTTTTGTATGTAACTAAACTCCTTTTAGATACTTCACTTGCAGAAGAAATACAAAAATATGTGAGCACTGATGATTTCCTATCAATTTTAAGAGCTCAGCAAGGTAATATTCTATGTGTTTTTGTAAAATTCTATTTTTATTTTTATAACATGTACTTTTTTGCTTTAAACAATGTTTATGTGATTATACCTGCATCTCGGAGTTGATGTTCACTCTGGGACTCAAAATCATTACCTTTCGCTTCAAACGCCATCGCGTTATCCACTCAGCTACTGAGTCCTGATAGCCACTTGTTTGTGCAATGGGATAAAGTATGCACATATGACAATAAGAGGTTTAATCCATAAGACAGTGGAGCATTATTAGGAGATGACACACCAACTACATTTGTTTTAAATATAAACGAATGATGAATTTAAACAAAAACAGTGTACAGGTAACTTGGACCGACGCATATGTGTGCTAGGTCCTACGTTGTAGCTAAATAACTGACTGACAGAATACAGGTATTCATTGTATGGGATCGAAACATTTTATGTATTTAATGTCAAAGATACTTTTTTTTTAATTTACCAAATCATTTAAAAGTGAATGAGATAGTCTTAAGTTTAATTGTACTTTTAAATAGATAGCCCGTAACACTTATTACTTTGTCAATGTTATAATAATAATTTTAATAGTTGAGATCATAAATCAATTAAAGCACTGATAGGTTCTGGGTTTAAATCTCGCGAGACGAAATCGTGGATGCGCACTGCTGAGAAGTTCCATAATAATAGGACGAAACGGCCGTCTCGTGCTTTCATATCTTCCATGGTGGTCTAACTTCAATTGATTCATTATCTCAATTATTGAAATTACTATAATATCCACAAAACCCCTTCTGCTTATAATAATAGTTGAAAAATAAAGGTATGCAATTATTGTTGTTGTTGACCTTTTTCCATAATAATGAATTATATAATCTTTAACATTCTATATTTCATTATATCAGTTATGCATTTGTTGTGATTCTTGTTATTATTTTGTTTTTTTTTTGGTTACTTAATAAGATTTCATTAATGGCTACGAAACAGATAAAGCACACCCTTTCATTGAAGAATGTATCTTGAGAGGTGCACCTATTGAAGAGGTACATAGTTTATTTCTTTTCATAATGGAGACAATATATAACAAATTTGTTTACTTCTATTTAGTAATGTTTTCTCATGTGTCCTAAATTATTGATATCGTGAATCGACCTATGCTAGATATTTATTGAAAACCAGGAAGTGCTGACCCGACCGTTGCTGCTACCTTGACGTGGTGGTCAGGCTTGCCTATCGTGATGAACCAATCGAGCTATACTGGCTGAAACAATCGTTACTCAAGGTCCTACCATGCCTGACAGGTCGGTTGAAGAGTGGCAAGACTAAAAGCAGCAATCCCAAGGTTCGAAGGCGAAGTAGTACTGCTGACTGTACAGAGGTGTGACGGCAGTAAGGTGTTTCTTTCAGACAACCAGCATAACAGCGATTCTGCCTTCCCACAGGGAGGTGTGGGGTTAGAAAAGATCGACCCTAAAAATGCACACCTCGCCTTATCGCACGGATATCCGTCTCCGACGGTAAGGTCCCAACAAGCACGGAGCTAACACAAAAATTACCCACAAAAAGTTCGTGTGTGACCGACCTCAAGCAGTTGTCCCTTGGGCGCTGCGGTCAAGCTCTCAGGTCATTAAGACCACTTCTAACTGAATTTCCTTTTCAGGCACCTCTAGAAGAACCCTTCCACGGTGTGGGCAACCGGGAATTGATAACTGCCCTCATACCTCTAACAGCACTCAAGATCACTATATTCAAGACTGAACTATATTCAAGTGCTGAACTAGGTCGGTTTCATGATATCAATAACACAACATTTTCAAAAAACCTCTGTACTGATAGTTATCATATTCTGATTAGTGACTCACTTTGAGAGGTAATTTTTGAAGTTTTAGTTTGAAGCCGTGACTAATGGAGTTTATGCCTATTGGGTGTAAGTCAGTTGCCCAACGAAGACAATGCATAACGAACGAGCAATGTTGTGAATTAACTGGAGATCCTGGGTTCAGTTTCTAATGGGCCCATAGATACCACTATTGGGGAGTCCCGTACTAGGGAGAAACAGTTGCCCAGTACTTGCTAGTTTCCAATGGATGTTCGGCTTCGGTTGGCTCGTGACCTTGAAATCCCTCAAACGCTTCTGATTCGCTCGTCCATAAATTATAGTCTCCCTATAATAATAATAGTAAATATGATTTACCCAACCGAGTTTTTAAAAAAAAGTCTGTACTTAGAGTAGACACACATATACTGTACTTATATACTTGTTAATCTCTCGTTTACATGTTGGTAATTTCTTTCTTTTTCTTCTACCGTATTGGTTTCTTTGTCTTAAGGTTCTTCGTCTAATTTGTATTCAGTCATTTTGTAATGGAGGCTTAAAGCAACGACTATTAGACTATTATAGAAATGAAATAATACAAGTAAGTTTAGATGTGTGTATATATATGCATATGATAAAAATATAAGAAATGTTCAACAGAATATTAAGGCTATCCTGATCTTAAAGTTATTTTAATTATCAGTATAGGGTTGTGGTGATTGTTAAGTTTTTGATTAAGATCATGAATTAATTTATATTAGAGCACCATTGCAAACTTGGAAGCACTAGATGGCCATTTCGTCCTGGTATGTGCACTGTTGAGAAATCCCTTATTAGGAGGAGACGACCGTTTAGTGTTTCCAGGTTATTTTAATTGCCCAGTGATATTTGATAAATGATTTTAAACCGTTATCATTATTTTATTTCATTATAACTGAAAGCATGATATTTTATTTATAAAATAAACACTCTTGATAGATAATTTGACACCTAATTTATGTGTGGCCCCCAAATGCCCTGGTACGGCCGAAGGTGGGGAGAGTCCGCTCTCCCTCTCGAAATGCTCTCATATGGCCACGCGTATATAGCCTCTGCCAGGGAAGTTCTACTCACTGCCTTCTCGGGGTGGGGGTGTTGTTTACGAAAGTGAGAGGACGAAAAGCGAATGTCCGGCGCTTTAACTGGGTTAGTGGACACGGAAAGTTCACCTAGGGGAGATTGAAAGTCCTGATTCCAAACCAATGGTGCACATGAGCTCCAGGATCTTGGTCGAAGAAATGGCGTATAAACCTATTGTTGGTCACCGGCTACCATGGGACTGCATCTCCTCACGATGCTCCACTGCCTTGTGGATTAGACCTTTATGTCAAAGGCTCGGGGTGTGGCTCCCTAAGAAAACCACTTGCTTCAATCTGGGCACCTGGGCAGTATCACAGCCCTCACACAAATCAAATGAGATTTGTGAGGCGCATATTTATCTGGTGCTTTTTGTGTCAATATTTATGTGTTTAAATAAAATAATATTTATGTGTGAATATTTGTCAAACTTTTATCGGAAGATTTGAAAATAATGTTTAGCTTAATTAATAAACAGTATATAATTGGAAATAGTGATATCCTTTAACTTATTGGAGGACATCGTCGATTGCCCTCAAATGCCCTGATACGACTGAGAGTAGGGAGAGTCCGCTCTCCCTCTTGAAATACTCTCACGCGGGCACACGTATATAGCTTCTATCAGGAAAGTCCTACTCATTGCCTTCTCGTGGCATTACTGTTGTTTACGATAGTCTCAGACAAATAGTTTCCTAATTAACTGTTGAAACAAAAATCTCAAGATCATTCCAGTCACTTCAATTTCTATAGACAAAAATGATACTGTATTGAGTCTCTAATAAGCTGATAAACTTCACTGAGGTTTTTTTGCGTTTAAATCATAATCTTGACATTCAAATAAAACAGCTACATCTATTAGATATAGAAAGTAGCTCAGCGTGATTAAAGCGCAAAAATCTGTACCCGGAGAATGAGTAAATTATACTTAAATCATCATAGTTATGTAAGTTGCTGAATGGCTGCCCATCGTGATGAACTATAATCAAGTAAGATTATGTAATCAACTATTTCTAAAAATCGAATTATTATACATACTTGGATTTTATCTTTTGAATTTTGTTCTACTTTCTTAAGGTCTACGGTTTTGAGCATATTTTCACACTGGATAATTTGGAACGTGTAGGTTTGCTTTATGAATCTCCCAGTAGTTTAATGAGTAGTATACAAACATCAAGTTTTACACCTCAAGAAATGATCAATTCAAGAAATAGTAGCTTATCATCTTCAAAATTGTCAGCAAACCTAAAACAAACAATTATTAACATAAGTACTAGTTATAATTCAGTACTAAAAGGAAATTTACGTCTTGTTATACCACCTAATTCCAACTCAGTTAATGATTCTGAACAAGTAGTATCTAGTTTGTTTTCCGGTTATATCCCTATATCTATTCGCCTTATTCAAGTATGGACAAATGATTGGTATCCTAAACCTAATCTATCATTAACAAGTAGAGGTATAACAGATCAAACTACTCTTACCGGTGGCAGTTCGGGGTCTTTTTTACTGTCTAAGGCTACACGTATAGTTTCAGGCCTTAGATCTTCGGAGAATTTGGAAATGTCTGTGTTACCGATGTTTAATGAGCGCAATGCATCCGAATTCAACAGTCATACAACATCAACTCCGACGGTACGAAAAACTAGTGGTTTTTTTCCTAACAATTCGTCGACTGCAACTTCTAATCGTACAACATCTTCATTGTCTAACTTAATTTGTGCTCCGGAATTTACAGTACAACTACCAGTTAGAGATGAATTGCCTTTCACGTCCAAAAGCGGTTGTTTAAATATGGAGAATCATCCAAATAAACCGCGTATTGTAGTCGTTGGCTTTGTTGGCGGTGTGAGTCATGCAGAAATATCAATTTTAAGAACTATAGCTGCTAGTGAAGATGGTAAGTTACTATCGGTTCAATATTAATGTGATCGTTTTTTTGTTTTCGCTTGTGTTTCAAGTGTAATATTTTCAAGTGATCTAATTTGCTGGTACCTCGAATTATCATATCGTAGTTGAGTGGGTTGAAACAAAATAATATTTCTGTGGTTTTTATATTGTCGATATGGTATCCTCATAGCGAATGACATTTTCTGGAATTGGTATTGTCTAAGGTATGTACGATGACTTTGAACGACTCATCTCTTAATGTGATGTTTTTTGCTTAACTACCTGTATGATGTAGCTTCAAAGCACACTATTAAGTGACTCGTCAAATCTAGCAAACCGAGACGGAAGATAATCTGAAAAGTTGATCGCGTCGTCGCAGAAATATTTGAAATGCATGACAAGCCTCAATTCGTGAAAGGTGTCTATCGCATTCACCAAATTTGTGTAAAATCACAACGAGAGATAATCATAACATGGTAATTCTCTCAAAGTTATTAGAATTGGAACTAGTTACTACTGAATATTAGTAAGTAGTATGATGAACATACAAAATGGAATCGGAAGAAAGCACGACATAGGTAAAGAACTCGATTTTTCCCAAATCCTCATCGTCTATTATTATGTCCTTAGCTATACAATCATCGCGGAATACGAATACTAGTTTAGATACACTGACTAATACGACCAAACTGATGACGCATACACTAGTACGGACAGTCTAGTGTTCCGATTGGTCTTTTTTCTCTGACTGACCCTACCTGTTAAGTACATAACGTCAATCTCCATGATACGAATCATATATTTCAAACATACTGGGTTTATACACAAACAAATTAGACCACATCACACCGTAAAATAAAAAATAACATTTGTCCAAGATCAAGCCAAAAGTGGCTGTGGTTGTAAGAGATTGCTACTAATTCATTGGGAATATCTCAATAATAGTAAATCGTATAATAATAGACAATAGGTCAAATAAGGGCTTATAATGAAAGGAATATGAATACACATTATTTATTTAAAATACATAAATATTGGTACACAGGGGCACCAGATATGTATGCGCCACATAAATCTCATTTGATTGGTGCGGGGGCTGTGATACTACCAAGGTGCCCAAACTGAAGCAGGTGGTTTTCTTAGGGGGCCACACCCGGAGCCTTTGACATAAAGGTCTGATCCACAAGACAATGGAGCATCATGAAGAGATGCAGTCCCATGATAGCCAGTGACCAACGATTGATCCATACGCCATTTGTTCCCTCAGGATACTGGAGTCAGCCCATGTACACCATTGATTTGAAATCGGGGTTTTCCAACTCCCTTAGGTGGCTTTCCGTGTCCACCAACCCGGTTAAAGCGCTGAACATTCGCTTTTCGTCCTCTCAATTTCGTAAGCAATACCGGTGCCACGAGAAGGCAGTGAGTAGGACTTTCCTGACAGAGGCTATATACGCGTGGCCATATGAGAGCATTTCTAGAGAGAGGGCGAGCGCTCCTGACTCTCGGCTGTATCAGGGCATTTGGGGGCCAAATGAAATGTAAATCATATTGCGACAAAAGCCTCTAATGAATCAACTTCATATTGGAATTCTCAAGTTGCTTTGCCGGATATAGGTTATTTCATTGATTCACATATTTTTCACGAAAATTCTTACAAAAATAAGAATATGTCGAAAGAATCAAATCGTGATGTTTTCACATTTAGTATGGTTTGTTCACACCGTATATTCACTTCCAGTAGATTCTTTAGTCAGTGTGAGAATTATGTTTTAAATAAAGACATGTAACTTGTAACTTGGGCATATGAAGACCCAAAATTGTTTCGTGGGGCAGGATAATATCAGAAAATCAGAATTACCTGTTTTAATCAGGAACAGTTTTTAATGAAAACAGGCGAGACCACGTAAAAACCCCTTATTTCTAATGCTTTAAAAAAGTGGAAGGTGTTATATCCGGACGAGAATAAATGAATGGTAACTGTTAGGAATTACTTGTGGACTAATAGTGCACGTATATTCTTACTGTATGATTACTAAGTGACTACATTATGTGTATGTTCATATTCTTTTTATTATAAACTTCCATTTGACATATTGACTACTACTATACGATTCACTATTGTTGAGATATCCCCAATTTATTAGTAACAGTTAGACTCACGGTATTAGGAAATAATGGTAAATCAGTTGATGAGGTTGTACATCTTCGTCGACTCAAATGGTTGAACCATGTGTTACGTATGCCTGAATACTGTTTATCATGACTCACAATGCTAACTAGTGTTGGATTTGTATGGAAGAGAATTAGGGGCGACTAAACCAAAACGTGGCATCAGTGCTTGAAATGACTAACCTCTAGTCTGAGCCATGTTGGTAGATGCAGACTACTTGGTTGGGGTCCGCGTGACTATCGTAACCAGTAGTTGGAGACTGTGTGTGACATGGCTCAGAATTGATCACAATGGCATAGGTGTATACACTTTTTGTCTTTCCTTAAACCATGAGATTAAAATTACTTTATATCTTTCTTTCTACGAACTAATTGTTTATTTCTATATTATATCCTTATACATAATCTTTTATATATTACTACCATTGAAGTAACTACTTCTATGCATTTTTTTCATTTCGCTGCGCTAATGAGTTGTGGCAACTTGGACCGATGCACATATGTGCTTGACCCTACATTGTGAATAACTGATTGACCATTCATCAACAAAAAAGGACTTTGTTTATAAAGTTTTTTTTTTGTATTTTAAAAGCTTCAACGAATACACATAAATAGCCTTTTTAAGTATCATTGTGCCACGGCTGGACTTGATAATTTCAAATAAGTCAAGTATTGAATATGTTATGTGTGGTGTATGCTACTTATGTTGACAGATATAAGTAATATGTAGCACCAAACGGAATTAGAATGTCTACCAGTAAGAGAATAAGTAGATTAAATTGAATCGAACAAAAAGGGAAACAAAGAGAAATTGTAATAACGACAGAATTTTGAAAGAATCATGAATAATGTGAAAGTCAATGGATGGAATAGTGTAAATAGATGTGTTTAATATATAATTCTCATATTTTTTACGAAGACACTATGATTTTTACACTGTTCACGTTGTGACTAACTGACTGTTCATTGTCATCCATAAAAACTATTGATTGCCTCGAGACTGGTAGGTTTTGGGCTCGAATCTTGCGAAGTGGGATCGTAGATGCACACTTCTGAGGAGTCCGAGAATAATACTAAAACGGCTGTTCAGTGCTTCCAGGTTTTCCCTAGTGGTCTAGATTCAATTAATTAATGATTTCAACTATCAGAAGGGGTTTTGTGGAGATTTTAGTATTTTATAGAGTTGAGATCATGAGTCATTTGAAGCTAGACTACCATGGAAAACCTGGAAGCACTGGACGGCTGTTTCGTCCTATTATGGGACTCCTCAGCAGTGCGCGTCCACGAACCCACTCTCGCGGGATTCGAACCCAGGACCTACCAGTTTCGAGCCGAAGCCCTTAACCGATAGACCACTGAGCTGGCATCCAACGGTGTTAATTTCTAACTTCAACTGATTCACGAAATTGAGCAACCATTCACCAATGTCATCAGTGAGTTCCTATCTCACAACAGACCTGGTTGAACTCCACCGGTTACTGCTTCTCACTAGAACTCCAGGAAATACCTCAAGGAGTCAGTCGCTAGTGAGCACCTGATTTCAACTATGCAAAATACTGAAATCTTCATAAAACCCTTTCTGATGACTATTCATTGTAACCTATTTAATCATCGAAATAATTGTATGTATTTCTTTTTTTTTTTCTATTTCATTCATTCATTCATTCTTCTTTTTTTTCACCCAGCGAATGTTGAATTCGTTGTTATTACAACAGGATTTATCACAGCACAATCATTTATTAGTTCATTTTGTCAACCGGTTAAATCAACTAATTTGATTCCTTTTTAAATTTGTTTCTTCATATTTTTTTTTTTTGGATCCTGTTTTAACGGATCATCTAAAGAAGAAAAATTTTTTTGTTTTGTTTTTATTTGATCATTTACCTCAATTGAATATTCTAATGATATAATTCTTTTTTTTATTATAAAAAGAATAGAATATGCCAAATTTCTTATTTATATATTCACAATAAGTATTATAGTCTAGTTTAATAATCACAATTACAGTTTCATATAGAAATTTGTATGTTATGCATATATAAACAATTGAGTAATAGTAGTAGTGCGGTGTGGGCTACTTATATCCACATAAGTAGTATATATATATATAACGATAGTTAGCAGAGATGGATAGTGGCTAGCAGTGGAATCCAGGACGCGCGTTTCGTCCTATTTGGGACTCGTCAGCTGGATGTACCTGCATCTCAGAGTTGATGTTTACTCTGGGATTCGAACCCAGTACCCTCGCTTCAAACGCCATCGGGTTATCCACTCGGCCACTGAGTCCTGATAGCCACTTGCTTGTGCGATGGGGTGAAGTTTAAATTCAACTTAGTATTGTTTGTTTGAATCTTCCCATCGATTGGATAACGCGATGGCGTTTGAAGCGAGGGTACTGGGTTCGAATCCCAGAGTGAACATCAACTCTGAGATGCAGGTACATCCAGCTGACGAGTCCTAAATAGGACGAAACGCGCGTCCTGGATTCCACTGCTAGCCACTATCCATCTCTGCTAACCATGCTTGTGAATTAAGGTATATCGAGGCAATACGCACAGTATGCACATATGCCAATTAGAGACTGACCAGTTGCAGTCCTAACAAATCGATGGGAAGATTCAAACAAACAATACTAAGTTGAATTTATATAAGGATAGTTGGACATTGAATGTATTTCAGTAGAAGATCGATAAGGAAAGAACGGAAACGAAACGTAATTGGTATGAAAATGCATGAACAATAATAATCGAAGATGATGAACTGATATTTACAGAAGGAATTGTACAGGATTGTGACAATTGATCGATAATTTGCAAATTAACTGTTTACTGTATGGCTATTAGAATTTAGTGAGATAGTCTATAATTTTTGTGTCAAACATATTTTATTGCTCTCACTCGTGTTCTTATTCACTACAATAGTAGTAATGGTTGTGTGATGTGTGCTACTTATGTCGACATAAGTAGTATGTAATACTAGTTAGGAATAGAATATCTAACAGTAGAAGCTCAAGATGATTGAGGAGGAAAGAAAGAGAATAGAAATCAATTGGTATGAAAGTGCCTGGAAAATGAAGTCTGAGATGATTGACTGATATTTCCAAAGTCAAGTTTGAGACGATTGATGAACATTTCACAAATGAAGTGTTCACTGTATAGTTCTCAGATAAATTTGGAAAGAGAAAAAAAATGGGGACATGAAGAATTCAGAAGATTAGAGTTTGGGAGAACACAAAGAGTGGATGCACCTTCGTCATTGTAAACGATTTTGAGCCATATCATTCAAGTTCTAATCATCGATTGCTACCATCTCGCAGATCTCAACCAGGTAATCACCTACCAACATGGCTCAGTCCAATTGTCAGTGAGTTGATGGATTTGTGGCACGTTTTGATCTGGCCGCCCCTAGCTTTTTTCCATCCTACACCATGAAACATCAAGGCAGTCGGGTATACGTAACCCGTGTCCCAGCCATCTCAAATGATGAAGTTTCACTATTTCATCAATCGATTTGCCATCCTTATCTATCATATGTATCAATGTCATGGGTGAACTTGATAGTTCCAAATAATTTTAGCATTGAGTGGAAAATTCATAAATATATATAATTTTTTGTTATATTCCAATGCATATAAAAATTGTATTTTTGACGTTTCGTGACCTGATGTAATACATTTCTTCAGAGTTTTGTTATCTGCTTACTCTGAAGAAGTGACTTACATTAAGTCGCGAAACGTCGGAAATACAACTTTCCTACTCATTGAGATATAACAGAAACTATATTGATTGTTATCTTATCTATCAGTTACACATAACATGTTTCACATTCGAACGAAGAATAAATGAATAGTAACTGCTAGGAATTATTATGAACCACCACTCTAATAAAACCAGTAACAGATGGCTTTCCTCCTTAACCTCCAAGTGAGGACATGGTAACTGTCTTTCAAATATATAGCTCAATATGTTCCAGCAGTCTTTGAAGGTTAGAATAATTAGTGGATCTGAGGTAGCACGTGATGATTCTGAGGTCAGTTAAAATCCTTATCAGTGGAATATCTTATGAAGTATCTTGACAGATCTTCTTGGATTTTTCATTAATCTTCTATCAGCAAGGTAATGTACTAAAATGCTTGTTCGAGAATGGTCCGCTTCATAATGTGTTACTAATTATTCATAATATTATAATATATTATATATTCATATAATAGCGGTAAAAATGATGTGAAGTAATTATCATAGCTTTCGTGACGTTAAGCGGAAAGGATGCTGATAAACTTCCGAGGAGTTATGATACAAAGTAATGCACAACAGTAAAATAGAAAACGTTGGGTGCAATTGAGTTATCTTGTCCACTATCTGCCAACAAAATGTACCTTTGTACCTGGTTCAGTTAACTTTCTTAATATGGATTACTGAATGGATTCCTCGATTAAGTCAACGTTTATTGTTTTCGTCGTTGTTGATGTCCGCACATCATAGTACTTTACATGGTACTATTTACTTAATTCGTTTGTGAATAAATATTGGATTTGATTGTTATTTGTCCTAATAAATCTGATTGTTCATTGGTTAGGTCAATTGAGTTGACTTTCATGTAACCTGTCACATATGCTTCTCATCTATACATAATGTACATATTTTTTCTGCAATACATTCCTATAAGTTAGTCATCTGGTAATGTCTGTATTGAATGTCATATTAATACATGACAGTCAAAAGTAGTGCGTTATTCGTTATCAGGCTGTTGATACGTGTGCTTTAATGTTATCTGCTGTCAGCTCATATGATTAACTATCCTCAAACGAAACTATACATTGGGTCGCTTTATGTGAAAGCCATATCCTAAGTGTACATACAAGTTAATTTAACAACAAATCAGTAGGGTGATGGAAGAGATGGTGACATAAACAACAATGATATTACCTTAAAATTTTTGTCATTTGCAAGGTAGGAAACACATCTATTTCAAATTGAACTTGTTATACTGTAATAAAAACAGTGATTTACATTCTCTATCCAATCTGAAAATGAAGCTCTCCTAGTTGGATTGTAAGGATTCACTAGTTTAAACCTGGGGATACTTCAAACAATCGATCACGAAGGAATTAAAAGATATGTATATCATGAAGAATAAGCAAATAGTATTTTTTTTTAAAATACTTCACTTACAGTCTTCTTAACTACAGAACAACTATGCTACACAAAACGACCTATCTAATCTAAACCTTAATGGCTAAATGAATTCTAACCTAATAACATCACTCATAAAATAAACTCAATTTGTTTAAAATGGCACCGGGAATACCGCAGATCTGATTAGGAAATTGTCTTATGATCAATCAAACTTAACCGTGAATTATCCTAAACTATAAAGCATTTGGCCTAGCTAACATTTATGCATCTTAATATCACCGTGTCATTAAAAGACTAATACACTTGTAGACACTGAGGTTCAGTGTCTCTGAACTTGTATATTATTGATGTTACATGCTGTCTAGTGGGAAGTAATAATCCTTTCAGTTTGATTTTATTCAGGAAAATAATAAAATGTTACGAAGAATGTATACCTGTAATGTGCCCCCGAATGCCCTGGTACGGCTGAGAGTGGTAAGAGTTCACTCTCCCTCTCCAAATACTCTCACATGGCCATGCGTATACAGTCTCTACCAGGGAAGTCCTACCCACTGCCTTCTAGCACCATGGGTGTTATTTACGAAATTGAGAGGACGAAAAGCGAATGTTTGACGCTTTAACAGGGTTGGTGGACATGAAAAGTCGATCTAGGGGATTTGGAAAACCCTGATTCCAAACCAATGGTGCACATGGGCTCGAGTATCCTGAGGGAACAAATGGCGTATGAATCAATCGTTGGTCATCGGCAACCATGAGACTTCATCTGCTTACGATGCTCCACTGTCTTGTGGATTAGATCTTTAGGTCAAAGGCTCGTGTTGTGGTCCCGTAAGAAAACTATCTGCTTCGGTCTGCGCATCCGGATAGTGTCCAAGCTCTCACACAAACCAAATGAGATTTTTGCGGCGCATATATATTTGGTGCTTCCTTGCACTAATATTTGTGTTTAAATAATAATAAATAATCTGTAACGTGCTTCAAATATTTTGACTATTTCACCTCTGAACCTCTTTTTTTCATAATATATCCTTATTGTGATAATATGAAACAGACAAACAGTAAATCTTTACGAATTTAAACTAAATAAGTACGCATTTGATTAGGTCATAAGATCGTTCATTGCAAACAGTAACTATAATGGGTTCTCATTTATGAATTGGTGGTTAGTGTCAATCCTTTAAACATGACTGTTTTATTATTTATTTAAACATATATATTGGTACAAAAGGGGCACCAGGTACATATGCGCCACACAAAATAATGAAAGTAGGAAGAGAAGGGATAAAAAGATAAGGCGGACTGAAATGTACAACCAGAAGACTCTTTCAGTTAGGAAAGTTAGAACCATTCTTTATATAGAAAGTAAAAGAAGGTTGCAGCAGGATCGCCACTGGCTTCTATTCTGAGCCATATCTGATAACGTCTCCAGCCACTGTGTTTCACCATCTCTCGGACCCCAACCAGAGAGTCGTGAAGGACCAACGGAAGCTAGCCCTTTGCAGCTTTCTCTCGTGCCACGACACCATGTCATACACTGACCTCCTCTTCGCTTTCTCCAACCAAGATGTTAATGAACTTCTCAGGCACACCCTTCTTCAATAGACAATCCCAGAGAACAGTCCTGTCCAACGAATCGAAGGCAGCCCTGATATCA